GGTGTAAAATTTAAGAATAAAGGAATTTTCAAGAAACAGAAATCAAATTAGATAGAAGGTCTGTGTAGAATAAACTGTATCTGACAACATATTGTACATCTCTCACAGAAAATTTAAAAAAAAAAACACAGTGAGGAGCAATTGGTGTGTGAAAAAGTTAATTTCTGAAAAAATACTCAAAGGCATCATGAATTATCAATACACCATGTAAGTCTGACAGATTTTTCAATTAAGAGTCAGTGAATGTGTTTAATTTTCATTATTATCAGGCTTGCCCTACCACGGTGCTAGAATGCACTGCCAGTATTTTTGATCCAATAAGGACTAGAGGGTTGTCAAATGCCACTAGCAGAGTTGTACTGCAGGAAACAGAGGTCAGATTTGGGACAGAAGGGTATCAGGCAGCCCCTGCACCTTCTGCCCTGCAGAGCAGACAGCAAGTGGAGGACAGAGAATGGGACAGAGGGGACACCGACCCCCTTCACAAGGGTTTGCACAGGGGTAGCACAACGCCAATTTCTAGCATGGGTGGCAAGAAGAAGTCTAAATGCCATGAGGCAGATGTTGACCAGGTTCAAGTTCCATGGCGAAAGACAGAGTTGTAGGAGATGAGCTCAGGGTCTCACTATCCAAAGTGGCACGGGCATGTCTCATCACAAGAAGAGGGAGCACACAGGTAGATGGACGGATGGATAGTCTTTGTGTCTGCTCAGGAAGGTGGCATGTTGGCACCTCAAGACAAACATGGTGAATTTCAGCTCCTACAGGGTGACCACAAGTTTCGGCAGCTTAGCTTTTCCCCTCCTTTTTAATGTCACTCTGTGAATAGAAGATTCAACTGGACAAACAGAAAATTAGGAACTGGTACACCAGCTATGAAATGTTGAGTCCTAGAGAGGATGGAAGGTTGCTAAATGTCAATAGCAGACTTGTGCTGCAGAAGACAGAGGTCAGCTTGAACCCAACAAGTTGGTCAGGAGACAAAAACAGGGATCTTTTAGGGGCCAAATTAGAATGTAACTTTTCTTTTCTTACCAACTGTGAGGAACATTTTTCATTAAAACCTTTCAAAATAGTTGGTCTATTTGTTTTCATTATTCTATGTCCTTAAAGAGATGGCCCATTAGCCAGACTGCTTGCAGATAAGACTCTGGGAAAAAGTACTCTTAAGCTACAAGGAAATCTGGGAAACCAGGTTTTGGGCCAGGGTGCTGAGATAGCAACAATGGCAGAACACGAAAAGCATCAGCACAACTGTCTTTACATATTAATGCAGTGAACATTCTCTCTGAACACCAGTGTCCTTCCCTGGGGCTAGGGAGGGCTGAGATGTGCAGTTTCGGAGTAGGGGGGGCCCAGCACAGCAGCCTGGTGAGCAAGGAAAATAACAGAGACAACAAGGAGACAGGCTGACCCTTGCTAAGATGCTTTTCCAAGAAGGAAACTAAAAACTGTTTTCTTAGTGACAGAGGAGGACAACAAGTGAATCCTGAGAGATGATCTGGAAAGACATGCCTATGATCAGGAACAAGGATATTATGAGGCATGAGAATGTACCTAGTAGAAAGAACATAGATATAAAACTTCTTATTTTAGAATAAAGATAAAGAGTGGGCTGATTCAAAGCCCATTTAGTTTTGTTTTGCTTTGAATCATGACCAATGGTAGAGATATACTGAGTAATTAACGATGGCTTGAAGTCAACATTTGATTAGGCTGAGATCTATGAAGTCCTCATCACTGGCATTTCTGAGTCTACACTTGATCTCTCATAATAGATGGATAAGAAAACTGAAACGTGGCCCACCAGATTGAGAATGATAAAAGGAAGTATTTTGGTTTTATGCTGTACAGCAGCAACCTATTTAAGCCACTCCTACAAAATACAACCATTACCTAGGACTTTATGGCTACCAAGCATCTATAGCCCAAGCTCTCACTTTACACTGCAAGTCAGTGTCTGTACTCAGAATCAGTAAGTGTTTGTGCTTCAGAAAAACTTTTCCAATAGGCAGGGGATTTTGTAGTTAGTCATGTTGAGATATGCAGCAGGATATCACTGAAGATGATAGTACTGGCAGTTGTAAGGGGTAAATAAAGTCTTACAGATGTGGTGTAGTAATGGACATTGCAGCACAGAAAAATGTCTGTTTCCCAGGAAAACCATATTTATCCTAATAACTTATTTCTGTCAATGATCATGAAATGACAGAGAAGATATCACCTGTTTTGAAGGAAAGAGTCCTTGTGAGATTAAGTAGCCGTTCTCCTGCTTGGGGAAAAGCTGCTGTATCCACATCTGACAATGTTTTTCAAACTCATTCTGAAAAATTACCAACAAGATTCAGTATTCTCCTAGGAAATTGTCCCAGTCATTCCATACCTGCACATGAGACAGTATATTTGCAAAAAAAATGAAATACCTCCTCCAGTTATTTCCTCAGTAATATTTCTGTGCATTGTTACAACACAGTCAATGAAAATTAAATGGGTACCTTTATCTTTTGAGATAAGAGCAAGAAAGTCTAGGTAAAGTTTCTAATGAAATTTCTTAACATCAGGACTTCTGAGCTTCTACTCTGATTTATTAAGGCTTTGTTCCCTCCAGACTCTCTGATATACAGAATTTCAGGAAGAATGATGTCTCCAGGAGGAAGCAAAGGTGAAGTGATTTTCTGATGGGAGGCTAATATCAGCAATAAATATAGGGCATCTTCTGCTGCTGCTTAACATAAACTTCTCTGAGAGGCTGAATAGACTTTGCATTTCCTTAATGAAGATACATTTTTTCAATTTAAAATCTTATGCAAGTGAAATACTGCTTTCATTGATGACCACAGTAGGAAATCAATTCAATATTACACATTCTGAAATAGATCCCATAAATTGCCATAGCTCCTTGATTGCAATGCACATCTGACAACTCACGCAGCTGTGGCTCTGTCTCTCTATTTAGACAGTGGATGGTATTCTGACTGCCACCTTATAAACAGAGCAGGTGAGCAGGCGGTAAAGACAAGACTGAGAGGGATCTGCTAACATAAGACTGATATAGACATTTCTTTCTTGATGGTATTTGATTTTCAGAGGCTCTTGAGAATTTAGAGTTCAAATCTCTGAGATTCATGATATACTGTACTGTACAAGGTCATTCATGTCAACGGCAACTTTATGGGCAATAGCTCTTGCCATCAAATAGCATTCAATATGTGCAAATATAGGCTGAAAACTGCATTCATTTTCAGCTGTAACATCTCAAGTTCAGTCTCATGAACTGCTGGGAGCACAATTTATCTTAAGTGTGCTGAATTAATTGTAAGAAAGTATGGGAAACTTTAGATCTATGTCCCAGAGGGAAACTCTTGTGGTGAAATTAAGGGATAAGCATCGAAGCAGAGAGGTTGCTGCTGCTGGAGCAGGGACAGGGGATCAAGGCTGCTGGAAGCCTCCAGTGGGCCAGTTACCCCTGACTTAAGATATATGGGCAGTGAAAATTGGCACCAGCATGCATGGCTCATAATGAAACCATTGTGTCTCATAGCCTGAAAAATGCATCATCAGTCTCTTGGACCTGTGGAGTTGAGCTAAGTGGAGATAGACTCTCTTTTTATCTCTGCTTCCCATTTACTACCACTAGTTAAACACCATTGCCTGTCTCATGGCAGGTTTGCCAAAACTTGTGTCCAAAGAAACATTTCTCCCCTCAGAACAACCTCCATGGGAAAAATAAACAAAGCTTTCCAGAGCCAGGCAGGCATTGCACCAGTCACTGGATCCCACATTTCTCGACATAAAAAGGCGCACATTTTTAGCTCTGCTGCGTCCAAGCTACTAACCCTGATGATACACAAACTAACACCACAATGGGCAAAGTCATAATACTCTAAAACCCCCTTCTTACAGGAAGGTGGTGAAAGCCTCTAGAGTAGGGGATGAGGGAGCAGACAAGCCTGCAAACTTTTCCTCCTGGTGAACAACATCCATCAAGAAGTCCATTGAAGTGATGCGCAACCATTCTCAGGGGTTCTGCTTCTCTCCTACTCTACAGTCTGAGGACTTATCTTGAGAAACATCAAAGCGTGCAAAACCCAAAAAAAAAGAGCAGCAACTCATTCCTTTGGTTATCTTTAAACCTTGCAAAGAACAGACGTTGAAAGCTGACCTACCAATGAAAACATTCGCAGTTCAGCCCTGGAATTCAGCTAAGAAAAACTATTAATGTAACAAACACAGCCAGATCTCATGTGATATATTTTAAGAGGGATTTTTTTTTTTATAAGAGATGAAGGGTTTTTTAAGACTTTCACATTCTTGTGTGCTTAATCCAAACCCCCACACCTACTTTGGTAACACCACTTGCACTTCTGAGGACAAGATGTGTTAGTGTTGGGGTCAGCTGGGCTCAGAGCGAAGGAATGTACAGTGGCTGGACTGCTAGAGCCTGCTGGAAGTTGCTATGGCTCCACTAGTCTATGGGAAAGAGGTGGAAGATCTGAAGACAAAGCAGCTAAACGATGTGCAATACATTAAATACAGCTGATGTTGGGCAATGAAGGCTTTCATTCTCACTCTAGTGGAAGAATAAAAGCCACTATCTTGGTTTTGACAGTGACATTGGATAGACAAGAGGAAGAAGCTGTATAGATACTATAGGAATAGTTATAACACTAAATGCAAGGGAAAACTCTGCATGTGTCTGTGAGTGGGTGGATGCATGCATGTGCATCTATAAGCACATGTCAAGTGAACTGTTCATGTGCTACAACTTCTCAGACTAGTGGAAGTGGAAGTGGCAATAGACTGTGAGGGACCTGCATCCATAATACCATTCAAAGCCAGCAAAGAGGTGGTTTTAGTTAGCACTGTCACAGAGCAGCTGATGTTTGGTATCCACAGTAGACAATCAATGATGTCTTTGATTTTTTTTCTTTTATATAATTATTTTGGAGTAAACAACCATCTGTTCCTCTTTCTTTTCCAGTGTAAAGATAGTCACAGACTTATCGATAAAGGAGAAAGTTCTCAAGTGGCTCAGGCAGGTGCAGCTTGTGGACTGCATATAGGCATGACCGACCCAGATGCTTTCTGATACACAAGCGGCACAGCTGGGCAAGGCTGGCAGGACCTGGAAGAAAAAAAAAGGCAAGAACAGGGACATCCAAACCCACCACCAGCATAAGTCAGAAAGCAAAAAAACACCAGCAAGATTTGCAAATCACAAGCACTACAGGGAGAACTAAATACATTATTGTTCATATTTAACTTGTATTGCCAAAATTGCTTCAGCAATTTGAAAACCATGAGCACTAAACACTTTTTTCTGCATGCAGACCTAGGCTTTTCTGCATCATTTACTGAGTAAATACTTAAAATGCCATAAAAGTGTCTGCACTGGAGAGAGAGCACCAGGATGCATAGCCCTTGCTCAGGAAGTAAAACAACTCCCAGCAGTGTTGTGACGATGAAGACAAGAGGGATTATGGGGAGCTGCAGAGATGCTTGGTGTAGAACAGCCATAACAGGGTGAATATGGAAAATACAGTTAGTTGTTCATATATATAGAACATGCTTCTTCCAACCGCTGGTGTCGCAGCAGGTACCTGCACAAACAGTAATTGCAACTTAGCCTTTTCACATGACAACACTGTCTCTGAATATTTAGGTATGTCTATCAGTCTATCAATGCTTCCCAAAATGTCTTGAAGATAAAAAATCCTCAAAAGTTTTGTGCAAGAAGGCACACAGGATAGAAAAAAAAATAAATTAAAAAAAAAGAATTAAAATAAAAAGGACTTTTCAGCCTTCTCTTGCCTTGAGAGGAAGGTTGTCACATGTGAAAAACTCTTGTTAAACATCGGATTGACCACCGGAAAAAGGAAAGCTGTTGGAGGACTCTTCGGCACAACAGAGAGGCCAGCTTGGGCAGTGGCCTTCATGCTACTGCACACCATGGTGCTGCCCTGGTGGCTTCTCCACAAGGGGACAAGGTAGGTGCCCCCCAACCCACACTGTGCTCATTCAGGTGAGAGGCACACCAGGCACAAACCTGTGAAGCAATGAGGCTCCTTTGCTTCTGTTATAGCGTGTTTGCACATGCAAACGCAGCTTTGCTAGTGGACGTGTTCCTGCCTCCCCTACCACATACCTCCTCCTCCTTTTCGCTCTCCTCTCACTGGAGCTGCTCCAGGTTGAACTTTTATGCCTGTTCAGGGGTGCTCAGATTTCAATCCCTGGATCAGCCCTGCCCCTCCAGTTTCTGACCAAACAGTAGCGGTCACAGCAGTGTTTGGCCAGCAAGAACTTTTCCCTATGTCTTCCAGGTAAACTTCATAATCTGTGCTTTTACTACAGGAAAATTTAGGAGCCTAAACAGCCTGATAATGCCCCCTCTAAGAAGAAATTAAAATAAAAATATGGGATACATAGATAAGAGTACTTGTACTGCCATCACTGGATGTGAAGAAAGAAGCTACCATCTCCCAAAGGAGTTAGGAAAACAGAAGCATTTTATGTTTCACATCACTTAATAGCTAGGAAGAGGAGCAATTAAACAGAGCCATCTAAGTAACTATGGCAGAAAAGTCAGGGAGTATATAGAAAACCTTTCAAGATAGGTCCCTGGGGTGCTTATTTTATACAGAAGGACCTCAGAATACACAGAAGAAGTAGGTGAAAAGGGCAGTTGCAGATGTTAGATACAACAAATTATCTGAAAGCAGGACTAAAGGGAAAGGTGAGGAAACTGAGGAAACTTCATTTCTGAAAAGTAAAAAGCCAGCAGGAGCCGAAGTGCTCCTGTAGTCCCTCTGACTGTAAGGGAGGAGAAGGTGACAAGTTGAAAGCAGAAATCAAAAAGAGGGTTCAGGAAGGTAAAATTATTAATATTGGAATATTTCTTTATCTACTCAAACTCTCAATCACGCAGGGCAACTGGAGCAGGACAACTGTGAGCACTGCCTTTGCTCATGTAGCCTGCTGTTGCTGAGCCCTGAACATCTCAGATATGGGGGCAGAAGTCACAAGAGGTGAGAAGCATTCAAGCAAAAGTCCTCCCAGAAGGTTTTAGACATGACAAATTAAAGCTGTGCATGAAAAGCCACAGAGAAAGGGAGTAGGACAGAAGGATATTAAGCCAATATTTCATTTCCTCTATAAAACCCACTTGTGCGTGGAGGGCCAGCACAAAGCCTATGTGCATCATTGAGAATCTAAATTTACCATCCAAGAGATATTATTTTGAAGCTGGAAGTGGGTTCTTAGTGCACATCGTGTTTTGCTCCCTGGCAGGGAGAGAGCTGTACCTGGGACGGTGACAGGCTGCCTGCATGGGGGAGCACCATTCACCCTCCCTGCCAGCAAAGCCCTGAGGGCACAGACTGACTAACAGGGTACCAGTGAGCTGGGAATTGCAGAGGTTAGAGGAGGAAGGGGGAATTAATTCAGCATGTCCATCCCACAGATACTGCTATTAGATGCATCACGTTCTGGCTCTATGTGGTGCAGGTGAAAATGACACAAGAGGATCTAGATTCACCTCTGCTCAGAAGTTTATATAGAGCATCCTTATAAAGGGAGTTAAGAAAATGTACTTAGGTAAAGGAAATAAATACAGCTGTACTTAAAAAAAGAGAAGAGGAAAGTAAGCCATTACCTTCCAGAAGCAGAAGTGCCTGCTCCACTTTGCTGTTGGGTATGGCAAGATCAAGGGCACATTTGAACTCAGCATTTCTGCATTTCGGGTTAGCACCATAGTCTGTCAGCAAGACGACTACCTCCACGCTGGATTTCCTTGCTGCTGCATGGAGGGGGGTGTCTAATCGCTTCCCCATGTTCACATTGGCTCCTTGAGAGAACAAGAGTGTACAGTTAGATCAGGGGGGCAACAGGAACTGTCTGAACCTGCATCACCCAGGCTGGTTTCCACCAGTAGCCTCAATAAATGAGGATAGATGGCACACAGGCCTCCCTCATTCCTCTCAGCAGCAGTGGTGCAAAACTCAGCAGGTCAAATACCTGCTGTAAAAATGTCCTCTGAGCCACCGAACCCTGTCTGCAATGGACAGAACTGAGCAGCTTGACCTTCAACCCAGTAGATGTTCAAAGCCTACCATATGCTCTGTAAGTTTGTTAATATAAACTCTAACACAGATTATGGTAATTTAATTACCAGGGAAAAAAAAGACCCTTTAGGTATCACATTGTAATAATTCCAGGTGCACAGCAAGCAAAATGCTTGCCCTGGGCTCTCCAGGCACAGCAGGGCCACATTTCTAGCAGGTGTAAGCTGGCTAATGTACACCGACAGCAAAAATTTATGCTAGCTCATAGACTGTCCCTGGAGCTGCAGTGATTATTCTTCCAAGCAACTTTACTGCTGTCTTCATCATACATTGAGAAGCAAGTGAAGTTAATGCTTAGTATGGCTGTTTGTCATAATCAGGAATTGATTTTGGCCACTAATATTAGCCGGTATTGTCTGTGCTTCCTGTTATCATTCTAGAAAACTTACAGTATTTTATCTTCACATTCAGACAGTCTCAGGGAGATCTGTGTAATTAGGGATTTTTTTAATGAAGAAATCAAATTCTTCATGAATGCAGGTGAAATTTTTAATAGCCCCAAAAGAGTCTCACAAACTCGGGCTGCCCAAACACCTCTTGAGGAAATATGATGTTTGAAATGGAGAGGCAGCCCAGACAGAGCAGCAGTGCTGGGTCACACCACGACAGCTCTCTCCTGGCCCCTTTTCCAGGTGTACCTAGCTCCAAGAGCTTCTTGACACAGTCTGTCCTCTGGTACGTGCAACCCACGTAGAGCAGAGTCCCGTGCTGCAGATCTTCTTGGTCAATGTCAACCTCATGGGCCAGAAGGATCTCCATGCACTCCCTGTGACCTGTGGAGAGAAGAGCTGTCACTGAAGTGCAGCAGAGCAGGAAACACCCAGATATATCAAATGGTGCACAAGAGCTGGGAATAAGCCAAGCCTATTTATCCACACCAGTACAGACAAGTTTGGAGTTTTAAAAAATATTTTAACATCAACAAAAGATGTATTCCTCACTTAGTGATGTTAGCTTCACTCACAGCCTGACTGTTACCTCTCTTGACCGCTTCGTGAATGGGTGAAGGAAGGTGGTTCCTGTGCTGCGGCTTGGCTCCAAACTCCAGCAGCATGTTGACACAGGCCACGCTGCCACTGCAGCAGGCGTTAAACAGAGGAGTGATCCCATCGATGGTGACTGCGTTGACCTGGAACAGCAATACGTGCTCAGGGTAATGTGACTTAAGAGGAACGCCCTTGCAGTGTACCTTGTGTGCACACCACAAATGCACCAGAAAAAGATGACTGTCTTGCTTGATTTCAGAATTGATTTTGTTAACAACTTTCAGAGTTATATGTTATGGCACAACACATATAACATTCTTCTTTGACATCTGCCCTCCTTCCTGTATAGCTAGTGACATAAGGCTATGCCTGTTATGAATGCTCCTCCTAGAGTTGCTAAAATACAGATTTTATTTCTTTTTATGTGAATTTTAGTAACTTCATGACCATCTAGTATGCACCAACCCAAACCCAGAATACACTCAGATGAAAAATGGCTTTGCTTTTTAAATGAAAACATTTACTTCATGTTTAATACTCTCCCCTGAAAACACATTTCCAGATAAGGAAATTTTCACAGATAGATAGTCTTAACCCTGAATAGAAAAGGAACTTGAAAGAGTTTTTGTTCTCATGCATGTGTGTATGTGTGTGTGTAAGAGAGAAATAATTTCCTTCCTCCACCTCTGACGTAAAGACCTGGCAATCACCACCATCTGTCCTTCTCCACTGGTACAGCACAGTCCATCTTGTGTCTTGCACAGCACCATAGCTGCTGTGTTTAACTATACAGCAAGCCCTCAGAGGCAAATTATGCAGCAAATCTGCATGTCCTTAGTTCTGTGGCACACTGGAGAAGGGCAATGGATTATGCAAGCATGTGGCAATTTGTGCCATTTCCAAATCAGGGAGAAGAGGAAAGAAATGGGAGGGCTGGAGAAGTCCTGAGGCATCAGGGAAGTTTGAGGACTTTGCTGCCAGTGCAAGACCTGGAGCTGCATTGCGAAGAGGTCACAGCACTGGAGTAGAAATACCTTAGCTCATGCAATTTAGCTAGCAAGACATTTTGCCTTTACAGCAGAGAAAGGCAGGAATATCTAAGAACCTATTGGTTTATTGTGGGTAATTCAGCAGTGTACCATCTGCCATTGATATGTTCCTAGGTATCGTTTGTCCTTGTTCATTTGAAATACTGACTTGTTTAGGATGCTGTGTGTGTTAACTCTTTTTCTCACAAGATGCTTTTCCCACAATTACAATCCAGTTCTTGCCATTTCCAGTGTTTCAGTCCATGCCATCTTCAGCAGGCTCCAACTGTGCAGCAGCCAGTGTGAGGCCATGTTCCCCCACATGAAGCTGCACTTGCAGATTGGGCGGGTACACTGGAGGAGGCAGCCCCTGCTCCTTGGTGCCTCCTCTGCTTGCTCAGTTTCATGGAAAACCAGGGATGGGAACAGACTTGGCTGGAAAATAACCACGCCAGGCCCAGGAGATGGGCAGACTGGTGTGATATGGGGAGATACAAGGTACCACAGCACAGGGGACAACTGTCTGCTCAGGTTTTGGAGCCTAAAATGCAGCTTGCTCTTCCTGAAATTGTCAGTCTCACTGGGCAGATGTGGCTGGAGCTGCTGGAAGCACTGGAGGACCATGAGCATCATTTCACAACAGGGACAGCGATTCAAGCAAGATGATAGCCAAGGGTAAGCAAGGAGATAAGTGAAGGAGAAAAATTACTTCTTTGCTTTCCGTCTCCATTGGGCTTTGGTTTAATGGGTAAAAGAGG